CAGCAGGTGATGGGAAAGACCCCCTCTGCCTGAGACCCTGGAGAGCTGTAAGGAGGGGCTGTGGCTCAGTGGAAGAGCCTCTGCTTGGCATGCAGAAGGTCCCAGGTTCAGTCCCCGGCATCTCCAGTTAAAAAGGACCAGGCAGGAGGAGATGGGAAAGACCTCTGTTCCTGAGACCCTGGAGAGCTGTCAAGAGGGGCAGTGGCTCAGTGGAAGAGCCTCTGCTTGGCATGCAGAAGGTCCCAGGTTCAGTCCCCAGAGGCATCTCCAGTTGAAAAAGGACCAGGCAGCAGGTGATGGGAAAGGCCTCTGCCTGAGACTCTGGAGAGCTGTAAAGAGGGGCTGTGGCTCAGTGGTAGAGCCTCTGCTTGGCATGCAGAAGGTCCCAGGTTCAGTCCCCGGCATCTCCAGTTAAAAAGGACCAGGCAGGAGGAGATGGGAAAGACCTCTGTTCCTGAGACCCTGGAGAGCTGTCAAGAGGGGCAGTGGCTCAGTGGAAGAGCCTCTGCTTGGCATGCAGAAGGTCCCAGGTTCAGTCCCCAGAGGCATCTCCAGTTGAAAAAGGACCAGGCAGCAGGTGATGGGAAAGGCCTCTGCCTGAGACTCTGGAGAGCTGTAAAGAGGGGCTGTGGCTCAGTGGTAGAGCCTCTGCTTGGCATGCAGAAGGTCCCAGGTTCAATCCCCGGCAAGGACCAGGCAGGAGGTGATGGGAAAGACCTCCGCCTGAGACCCTGGAGAGCGGCTGCCAGTCTGAGTAGACAATGAACCAAGGGGGGGGGTCTGATTCCGTATGAAGCCAGTTTCATGTGTGTTCAAATATGCGCCTGTCGCCCCATCCCCCCCCGCCCCCCTCACCGTTGCCTTTGCTCCACATCTGGACAGCAGGGAAGTCGCCGCGGCCACTGAACTCTTCCGCCTTGTCGATCAGAGCCTCCTTGAGGACCTGGTAGCCGGTGAGGACCACGCAGGGCCGGGAGCCCAGGTGGAAGGTGTACATCGGACCGTACGTCTTGCTGAGCTGGAAAGAAGGAAAGAGGGGTGGCTGGCAACGCTTCCCTCTAAGCTGCCGAGTCTCGTGAGCAAAAATTCCACTTTGTGAGCTCCTGGCATTAAAGCTGTGAGCGAGCGATTTGGCTGCTGCATGAATGAGTTTGCTCTGGAGCCCTCCTTCCTGAGCCGAGACAAAAAGGTGTCGGAGGCTAAAAAGCTGCAAGCTAGCTCACACTCACTCAGCTTAGAGAGAACACTGGTGGCCGGTGAAGCAGGGCAGGGGGCTCCAAACCAGGATCTTGGGGAGGGGTTGTGTGTGTATTATGGTTACCAGCTCCAGGTTGGGTAATTCCTGGAGATTTGGTGGTGAAGCTTGTGGTTTGTGGAAAGGGGGGGTTTCTCAGCAGGTAATAAAGTCCAGCCTCTGAAGCAGCTGTTCCTTCTAGGGGAACTGATCTGTGTCTCCAGGGGATCAGTTGGAATTCCAGGGGGTCTCCAGGCCCCACCTGGAGGTTGGCAGCCATAGTGAGTAAGCCCACACGTGTGCCGTCAACTGCATGAAAAAAGATTGAATACCAAGTAAACGTGAGCAGCTCACGGCTGCCAAACTCCAGATGGGTATGGAAAAAAATATATGACGCTGTGTATGATAGATGCATGCTTAAGGTAGATCTGTTTTGTGCTTTTTATTTTTCTTTCCTTCATTTTTTCTATGTTGTTGTTGTTGTTGTTGTTCAGTCGCACAGTCGAGTCCGACTCTCCGCGACCCCATGGACCAGATCATGCCAGGCCTTCCTGTCTTCCGCCGTCCTCTGAAGTTGGCTCAATTTCATGCTTGTTGCATCTATGACACTGTCTAACCATCTCATCCTTTGCCGTCCCCGTCTTCTTTGACCTTCAATCTTTCCCAGCATCAGGGTCTTCTCCTATACTATTATATAAATATTGGTGTCATGTATTACCAGAAGAAGAAGAGGAGGAGGAGGAGGAGGAGGAGGAGGAGATTGGATTTATACTCCGCCCTTCACTTGGAGTCTCAGAGAGGCTGACAAACTCCTTTCCCTTCCTCTCCCCACAACAGACACCCTGTGAGGTAGGCGGGGCTGAGAGAGCTCTTTCCAGGACTGCTCTTGAGAGAACAGCTCTGAGAGAACTTGTGACTGACCCAAGGTCACGCCAGCAGCTGCTTGTGAAGGAGTGGGGAATCAAACCCGGTTCTCCCAAATTAGAGTCCACCCACTTAATCACTACACCAAACTGGCTCTCAAATAATACATCAAAGTGCAGGTTTACACTACATTCAAAGGTTCAAACAGCACCTTGTCAGTTTCAAAACCACTAGTCCTAATAGTGTAGAAAAATTAAGAAAATAAATAATAATACATTAAATAACATAACAATAAAAACAAATAACATAACAATAAAAACATAACAAATAATACATTAAATAACATAACAGTAACCTCCCCTCGAATGGATAGGGTTGTGCAATACTGGAGAGTGGGTTGTCCAGTCACGCGGGATCCTTGGGTGTTCCCACGTATAAATTGTTTTAAATTGTGTTTTATGGTATTTTATTGCACTTTTGTGCCCTACGGTTGTAAGTCGCCCTGAGCCCGCACGCGGGGAGGGCGGGGTATAAATGAAATTAATTAAATAAATAAATAAAAAGGACAAACTAGATCTACCTTAAGCATACATCTGTTATACACAGTGTCATATATTTTTCCGTGTCTTCCTAACACTTGGAGCCTCAGTTTTTGTGCAACCTCCAGGTGGGTCCCCCGGGGGTCCCCCGGAATTACCACCCATCTCCAGGCTACGGAGTTCCGTCCCCCTGGAGGAAACGGCTGCTCTGGAAGGTGGACTCGATGGCGCTACACTCTGCTCAGGTCCCTTTCCTTCCCAGGCTCACACTCCCAAATCTCCAGTAATCCCCCAGCCTGGAGATGGCAACCCAGAAGCCTCGGCAGCTCCGTGAAATTAAGAGCCCAAAATGCAACAGGAGAGAACAGAGAACACGCCCCAGTTCTGGGCTGCCTCCAGCTTCACATTTTGTTGATTTTATGGTTTATCTTTTACAAAGCATCTCCGCTGCCTTTCTGTTCCACCCTCTCCCTGCCATGGGACACTTCAGGCTGTTGCCAGCGAATAAAAAGCAGTTCCAAGCAATGTTCCCGCTAAGCTGTGGAGTCCTGTGAGCAAAAATTCTACTTTGTGAGCTACTGGCATTAAAGATGTGAGCGAGCGATTTGGCTACTGCATCAGTTAGTTTTTGCTCTGGAGCCACACATAGCATCTCCGCTGCCTTTCTGTTCCACCCCCTCCCTGCCATGGGACACTTCTGGCGGTTGCCAGGGAATAAAAAGCAGTTCCAAGTCCCATAAAACAACGGCAGCAACTGCAAAACAGTAGCAAGGAGGGCCATAAAAACGTCAGTGTTAACCGGGCAGCAATGAACTGGAGAGGACTACAGGTGTGCAATGCTCCCTCTAAGCTGTGGAAGTCTTGTGAGCAAAAATTCTACTTTATGAGCTACGGGCATTAAAGCTGTGAGCGAGCGATTTGGCTACTGCATAAATTAGTTTGCTCCGGAGCCATCCTTCCTGAGCCAAGACAAAAAATGTGTGCGCCGGAGGCTAAAAAACGGTGACTAACTCAGCTTAGACGGAACATTGCAGGTGTGTGTGTGAATGGGACTGACCTTCCTCAGCACCCACAAACAGGGCGGAGGACGAAGACAGGTCACTCTCCCTGAGAAGGGAGCTCCACAGTTTCTCGGCAGACCCCTCCCTCCCTCCAAAGCCCCCCCTGCCCTTTTAGTGGCCAGGCAGGCAGCTACCGTAAAAAAGGTTTCTGGCTCCGGACCTCTAGTCAGGATCTCCACAGCCAGACTGGTTCGTGGGGCCTGGTTTTCGGCTTATTCTAAAAAAGCACCACTGGGGGGGGGGGCTTTGCAGGGCCAGGGAGGGGGCTGGGCATGGAATGCCATCTCTGAGTCAGTGTGAGCCAGCTCACAGTTTTTTAGCCTCCGGCTCACACATTTTTTGTCTTTGCTCAGGAAGGATGACTCCAGAGCAAACTAATTGATGCGGCAGTCAAATTGCTCGCTCACATTAATGCCGGTGGCTCACCAAGTAGAATTTTTGCTCACAAGACTCCACAGCTTAGAGGGAGCCTTGACCCCCCACCCTTCTGGTGAGAACATCAACACATTTCAAGGGGGGGGGGACGGGACAGATCCATTCAAGCTGGAGAATCGCCCCGTTCCTTTCATCAAGGGGGAGTCTTAGAACCTTAACTTGTTATTTAGTTTTTCACTTTGCGTATATCTTAAACACCATCATGTTACATGTTCATTTGCTGTGTTAAGTCCCTGTCTATAAGTTTAGAAACTCATCTGCCCTTCCAATGTATTTGACAAAGTGTTCCTTGCACACAAAAGCGCATACCTTAAAGGTCTTAAAGGTGTCCCTGGAGTCTACATTTGCTCTCAGACACGCTCACAGCTTTAATGCCAGCAGCTCACAAAGTAGAATTTTTGCTCACAAGACCCCATAGCTTAGAGGCAGCATTGTTGGCGACCCCCCAGAATCTATATTCATGTAGTGAACAACTCAGATACTTAAGCTGCCTATGTGAATAATATCCAGACTTAGAACATAAATGCTGCTTCCTTAAGGGGAATGAGATGGTTAGACAGTGTCATCGATGCAACAAACATGAAATTGAGCAAACTTCAGAGGACGACGGAAAACAGGAGGGCCTGGCGAGATCTTGTCCATGGGGTTGCGAAGAGTCGGACTCGACTGTGCGACTGAACAACAGCAACAACAAATGTGGATTTTAACTGTTATTTACGTATCAAATCGTGTAAGCCACCCCTGCAAGCAAGAAGCTTGGAAAAAGAGCTTGTGCCTCAAGAGTTCTGCAGCCTCCCGCTTGGCTGACTCCACCGGAAAGACAGGGAAGCCTTGGGCCCTTCCCTGCGAATTGCCTCCTGCCTAGTCCCAAGGTGGCAAGCAACGATGAAAACAGCCGTGATATAGTATTATGAAAATATATTTGGACTGCTGTTTTGCAGCGAGTTGTATTTCCTCAACAAGTAATAAAGATGTGCGCCCACACACAACGGAATTTGCCTATACTACCATTTCACATGACCGCTTTTTCTAGCACACACACAACGGAATTTGCCTATACTACCGTTTCACATGACCACTTTTTCTAAGGGTGCTGCGTGAGTAACATTAGTTCACACGTCAACAGTTCTAAATCCGTGACATTAACACTCAACATTCTTCCCACTTCAGTGAAACAGATTCTTTCTGTGCCCAAGGCTGAGCAGGCGGCAAAAATGAAACCACACAAAGTGGACCAGCGGACCAGATTGGAGGCCGTGTTCCTGGAGAGTCTCAGCTTTTGACTTTCCCCTTAAAGCAGGCAACGCCGACCCCAGTCCCCAGACCACCACCACACATCCTTATCCACCCCTTTGGATTTCAAACCGGTGACCTGTCGCGGAACAACCTTGAAAGGAGACCTCCCATGGCCTCTTCTGACAGACAGAACTCCCATTGGCTCCCTCCGCTTGTGCCTGAGGCAGAGAGAAAATGAATTTGAAAGACAGAGAGACAGAGGACAGTGTTCCCTCTAAGCTGAGTGTGAGCCAGCTCCCAGTTTTTTAGCCTCCAGCTCAGACACTTTTGCCTTAGCTCAGGAAGGAGGGCTCCAGAGCAAACTATCTGATGCCGCAGCCAAATTGCTCGCTCACAACTTCAATGCCCGTAGCTCACAAAGTAGAATTTTGGCTCACAAGACTCCACAGCTTAGAGGGAGCATTGACAGAGAAGGAACGTGCTGGAGGCGGTCAGTCCTGCTCCCCAACACCAGATGAGCTGGGGCTCTGGGCTGCCCTGCAGTGAGGCTGTGGGGTTCTGCATGCGCTCAGAGGCACCCTTGATTTCCATCATTCCTTCCCCCTTTTCCAAGTCGGCCACTAATCTTAAGCAGAGATTCTGCAAGCAAGGCTTGCTCAGAGATGCCGCCGGATGCTTTGTGGCCTCCAAGCCCAATCGTATTCCCAAAGCCCACCCCCCCAAGGGGCTAGTGAGCAAGCCCGATCTTGTGCCCAGAGGGGGCTGGAGGGTTTCCTCACTTCTCTCAGAGACTTGATCAGGTCCTTCACGTCCACCTGGAGCATGTTGCCGATGAAGGGGAGCGGGGTGGGCCCCGGCGGGAGGCTGCGGAACTTCTTCTTCGACGAGAAGGCGAGGAAGAAGAGGCAGGAGATGGCCATGGCCAGCAGAATGGTGAAGGGGCCGCTGAAGCCCATCATGGTGGAAAACTCCATCTCCGCGCTGCAGAGAACGAGAGCTGCCGATTCGCTGCTGATCTTGTCTTATGTTGAACAGAGAGAGAGAGAGAGAGAGAGACAGGCTAGTGGGTTAGGGAAATAGGCTGGCATCGGCTTGCCTCACCCCCCTTGGCAAACAAACAGTATCTTGTGAACTGACGATCAACAACCTCAGCTGCAAATGTTTGCGGCTCCCCGCCAGGCCTGTGGGGCTTAAATGACACCATCCCTGTGCTCAGGGGCAGAATTGTTCTGCAGAATTGCTTTTCCGAGAATCCAGCCACATTTGTTCTACATTTCACGTGGGGCGAAGGGCTCCTCAGGGCAACCCGTTTTTGGAGATTAAAAATTCTGCTCTTCTACCTGTGACACTGTAAAATGGAGAATTGAAAAGGTAAGCAAACATCACAAACCATGACCTAGCCTTGGACATAAAGTGTGAGTGGATGGAAATGTGTGTCTCAAGGATCTGTCCTGGGACCTGTTTTGCTCAACATCTCTGGAGGTTTTCAAGCAGAGGCCAGAGGTCCATCTGACAGCCATGCCGATTCTGTGAACTTAGGCAGACCATGAGAGGGAGGGCAGGAAGGGTTGCCTCAGTGCTTAGTTCTCGTGGCCCTTTCTTACACCCACACGGAAATGGCCACTTTGGGGCCAGGAAGCCATTTTTCTCCAGGCCAGTTTGGTTGGAGATCCTGGAGGCCTTTTGTTTTCGTCTGGGTGTGGAACAGGGGTCACTGGGAGTGTGTGTGTATGTGTGTGTGGGAGGTATTTGTGAATTTCCTGCATTATGCATGGGGTTGGACTAGATTACCCTGGAGGTCCCTTTCAACTCTATGATTCTACACAGAACCCCTCTTCATATCATCTACAGGAATCATCCCTTTCAGTACTGGGACCATCATTCCTGCCAAAACCACAGGGGACAAAGCTGCCACTCTCCAGCTTTGCCATCGAACCAGAAATTCCTGAACCATGATTGGCATCATCACAAAAAAGAGGCTTTGTGGTATCCAGTTCTTACCTGAACAAGCGTTAGGGCTTCCAAGGCCAAAAAAGGTAATTAGTCATCATAATCATTGTCACAGTTGACATTAAGGTACTGTTGGTTCTCCTGGGGTTGTGGTCAAGAACAGATTCGATACATGTTCACTGGCTTCGTCTGAAACTTCAGTTTGTACAGGAGGGATTGGGAAGAGGGGGGAAAGCAATATATCCCCAATGGGTGGCCTAAAGGAACTTGAGATCAAAGCAAGAAGTAGGAAGGAGGAGGAGGAGATTGCATTTATGCCCCGCCCTTCACCACCACATACCTTTATTTCCCCCTCACTCTTCAGCTTTCCACCCCCCACACACCTGCAGCCTCTCCCGTGCTCTGAAGCCCTGACTGCTACATCACATTGGCTGTCATACGGGGGCCACCTCAGCAGCATATAAGGATACAGAGCCCACCATTTTCTCCAGGGGAACTGATCTCTGCCGTCTGGAAAGCAGTTGTAATTCTGAGTGATCTCCAGACCTCACCTGGAGATTGGACACATTTTACCTCAGAACAGCAAACTGTTTAGAATGTTAGAGGCAAAAGCCAATCAAGTCGCATATGCAAACGACCTCTGTGTTCCGAGGCAAAGGCCAATGAGGCTGCATATGCAAATAACCTCTGTGTTCTGACTGGCTATGGGGGAGAGAGGAACAGCAAAATGTTTAGAATGTTGGAGGCAGCACTCAGGCAAAGCAGCCAGTGGATAGGGAGACCCTCAGAATGACAGATCAGAGAGCGAACTGATTTTGGAGCGTGTATACACTGGAATGGAAGGTAACAGTTCAGACTTATAGACAGAGTGAACAGCAAATTAACATGCAAAGTGAACAGCAAATTAACATGTAACCAAGGCTCCCTCTAAGCTGTGGAGTCTTGTGAGCAAAAAATTCTACTTTGTGAGCTACTGGCATTAAAGTTGTGAGCGAGCGATTTGGCTGCTGCATAAATTGGTTTGCTTCGGAGCCCTCCTTTCTGGGCTAACACAAAAAAGGTGTGAGCCGGAGGCTAAAAAACTGTGAGCTGGCTCACACTAACTCAGCTTAGAGGGAACACTGCATGTAACATGATGAAGATAAGTGAAAAGCAGAAATAGCAAGCTAAGGTTATAAAGTCTACAGTTGTTTTTTTAATTAATTAATTAATTAATTAGTTAATTAAACTGCTGACCTTTTAACCTTAGCTAGTTATTTAGTTTTGTCTTTGCGTGTCTTAAAGCATCCGCGCCACGTTACATGTTAATTTGCTGTTCAGCCTCTGTCTATAAAGTTGAACTCTGCCTTCCACTCCAATGTATCTGAAGAAGTGTGCCTTGCACACAAAAGCTCATACCTTGAATAAAGGTAAATTGGTCTTAAAGGTGCCCCCACTGGACTCTAACCTTGCTAGATGGTTTCATCCTTGCAAGCTAACTGGTTGTGATTTGGGGGCAGGGATGTGGGATCAGCTCCTGCTCTTTTGTTGTTGCTGTTCAGTCGCACAGTTGCGTCCGACTCTTCGCGACCCCATGGACCGGATCCCGCCAGGCCTTCCTGTCTTCCGCCGTCCTCTGAAGTTTGCTCAATTTCATGTTCGTTGCATCTATGACACTGTCTGACCATCTCATCCTTTGCCGTCCCCGTCTTCTTTGACCTTCGGTCTTTCCCAGCATCAGGGTCTTCTTCTCCAGTGAGGGCTCCCTTCTCATTGGGTGGCCAAAGTATTTGAGCTTCAGTTTCAGTCTCTGGCCTTCCAGGGAACAGTCAGGGTTGATTTCTTTTAGGATTGACTGATTTGATCTCCTTGCAGTCCAAGGGACTCTCAAGAGTCTTCTCCAGCACCATAGTTCAAAAGACTCTATTCTTCGGCGCTCGGCCTTCCTTATAGTCCAACTCTCGCAGCCATACATGACTACTGGGAGTACCATTGCTTCTGCTCAACTCATCTGCATCTCCAGCTTTCTAGGAACTCATTTGACTGCCAATAAATGATCTGCCAGGGAATTCCTATTCAAACAGAAAGAGCTGCATCCCATATTCCCTGCCACTTCAGTCCCAAAACACACCAGGAGACCAGGGACCTATCTCAAGAGAGGTCAGTTTTAGCTGAGCCCTGGGACGACCATCCTGAGGCCTTGGGGTACGTGGGGTGGGGAGAAGGAATAGGACTAATTCTGAAGAAGACAGAGTCAGGATTCAAAATGGTCTAGATAGGCTGGAGCAGTGGGCTGAGACAAATAAAATGAATTCCAGTAGAGAGAAGTGCAAAGTCCTACACTTAGGTACAAAAAATCAAAGGCACAGATATAGAATGGGAGGGACTTGGCTTGACAGTAGAACCTGTGAAAGGGATCTGGGTGTTCTGGTTGATCACAAGCTAAACAGGAGCCTACAGTGCTATGTGACTGCAAAGAAAGTGAATGCAGTCTTAGGATGCATTCATAGAAGCCTTGTGTCCAGATCATAGGAGGTGGTAGTTCCACTCTATTCTGCTATGGTCAGGCCTCACCTGGAGGACTGTGTCCAGTTTTGGGCACCCCATTGTAGGAAGGATGTTGACAAGCTCGAGCAAGTCCAAAAGAGGGCAACCAGGATGGTGAGAGGGTTGGAATCCAAGTATTATGAGGAAAGGCTGAAAGGGTCGGGTCTGTGTAGCCTGGGAAAGAGAAGGCTTAGAGGGGACATGATTGCAGTCTTCAAGCATTTGAAGGGCTGTCATGTAGAAGATGGAGCAGATCTATCCTCTCTTGCTCCGGATTGCAAGACTAGATCTAATGGGTGGAAATTACAAGGGAGTTGATACCGGCTCAATATCAGGAGAAGCGTCCTAACTGGAAGAGTGGTTGAACAGTGGAACACAGACTGCCTCGGGAGGTGGTGGATGCTCCTTCGCAGGACGTTTTCAAGCGGAGGCTGGATGACCATCTTTCGGGTATGTTGCAGGGCTGCTGGACATTTTCAAGCAGAGGCTGGACGGCCCTCTTTCGGGTATGTTGTAAGTATGTAGGGCTATCTTTCGGCTCTGCTCCTGCAGAGTTCAGGGGGATAAACTAGATGACCTGCAAGGTCCCTTCCAACTTTGTTGGCAGTGATAATTTCCAGCTGGATCTTTGAACTTTGGGCTGGACATTGGCATAGCAAGACAAATCCAAACACCAGGTTGGTTCCCAAGCCCTTTAGCATTTTTATATCTGCAGCAGGTAGAAATTCCTTGGACTGTCCTCCTCACTAACCGCTTTTTGTGTTTGCAGCTCCAGTGCTATCATGGATGGTGTCTCTCAAGACAAGTGAGGTGTCTTTGGCATGGGACTTCTTCAGACAGCAAAGCCTTCTTAGAATTCTGAGGATCACAAGGAAACTCTTAGTTCGAGGGATAGGGCTCTTGGTCTGCCTTTGAGTTATGACCAGTGTTCCCTCTCAGCTGAGTTGGTGTGAGCTAGCTCTCAGTTTTTAAGCCTCCGGCTCACAGGTTTTTGTCTCAGCTCAGGAAGGATGGCTCCAGAGCAAAATAATTCATGCGGCAGCCCATTTGCTCGCTTACAACTTTAATGCCGGTAGCTCACAAAATATAATTCCTGCTCACAAGACTTCACAGCTTAGAGGGAGCCTTGGTGATGAAGGAGAAAGGCCCCACCAAGCCAACGAGAGATTGGCAGAAATCCCACCCTTGGGAGATGGGCACAGGTGTGGCTGATCTTTGCCCCCTCCTGTTGTGAAAGAGAATCTCCCAGCTGTCTTGGACCGGTCCAAAAAAGCCTGGAGATGACCCGGTAAAGCATTTTTTGCAAAGTCATTCAGTGCTTTTGCAAGCGTGTTCGACAAATAACTTTACTGGGTCAAATGGCAGCTCCTTGCAACATCGCGGCTCTTTTTCGTTAGCTGAGGGAACCCGACTGAAGAAGGTATTCATTTGTTTAGCTCACCCAGATTTGTTTGGGCAAGTCCCGGCCAATAAGAGCAGGGAGTGCCACTCATACTTGCATTGTATAGTTTATTACGGCATCAAGCCAGTAAACCAACAAAATCACGCTGA